AAACAGAAATCACTGTATGGATAAAGTCTGTAAGACTCAAAGAGGTAAATAATTAGAATATAATTGTCTTCACACACATCAGTAACCTAGTAATCTAGACAAAGAGATTAATATTAGTATTAATATTATGTTCAGAAGTTCCTGGCCCCATCAAAGAAAACACAATAAATTCAAGTGACCATAATGTATCAGGATAAATAATCAGTTTGATGAAGTTCAAAGGCAAAATTAGAACTTAGTATTTGAAGCAGCAATCAATATTTTTTTGAAGATTTATTTATTTATGCATGCAAGTACTGGGGTACAGACTAGAGGTGTGGAGGGTGAGAGGATTCACCAGAGACAGAGCGGATAACAGAGCAGGCAGACTGATCGAAAAACACTGCTGAGGGGAGCAGTAGGTGAGTCAGGAGAAGTCTGCTGCGCCATGTGGGTTTCTCCTTGGCTGGGGATTGAACTCGTGCTGCAGTGGCTGCGGCAATCTTCATAGATTGCATCTTAACCCTTTGTGCCACCAAGGAGGCCCCAATATTTAAAAGTGAATGAATATGAGGGCCTCCCCTGGTGGCACAGGCAGGTTAAGCGCAGCACTGTGAAGCTGTCTGCAGCCTTTGCAGCGCAGGTTTGATCCTGGCCAGCTGGCAAGAATCCTACATAGCATAGCAGACCTCTCCTGTCTTGCCCACTGCTCCCCTCAGCAGTGTATTTCAGTCTGCCTGTTCTGTTCCCCACTCTGTCTCTGGTGAATCCTCTCACCTCCCATGAATCTGGCCTGTACCCCAGTTCTTGTATGCATGAATAAATAAATCTTTACAAAAAGTGGATGCATATGAGCCATAAACTAAAGTATGTGAGTATTGTAGCATCACTTTTAAAATCTCTTCTATAACACAGTGTCTGACTGTGCCCTCAAAATTTGTTCCCTTGTAATTCCTCCCCATTTCAGCTTAGAACAACTCCTCCCTTGAAGATGTTAAAAAGCCAAACCCCTGGACTCAATCTGAACTAATCTTGTTCTCTCACCACCTATTTTTGAAAGCCACCTTTAATAGATCTCCAGAACCCTTAAGTTCCAGCTCAAGATGGCAGTTTAGGAAGATCTTGAATTTACCTCCCATGGACACACCAAATCTGTTGCTACACATGGTACAATTTCCTCTGAAAACTAAAACTACAAAGAGACTCCTTCACTCCAAGAGGAAAATAAGAAAAAAATGAAAGAAAAACACACCAAACCCAATAGGAAAGGCTGAGACACAAACTCACCATAAAGGCCACCTCCTACCCCTCTAACCAACACCCCAATTCTGACCCCCAGTCAGGAGGATTCAAGTATTTATTTATAAATAATGTCTTAATAAAGTTATGTCTTAATTTTAAAATAAAATGAATACATAGATAAAATGTTACTGAAAAATCATGTCACTCCTCTATCCCAAACCATCCAATGGTATCTTATTCAGAATACAAAGAAAATTCATTACAATATCTTTTAAGACCCCATATCTGACCTTCCTTAAGGTTTTTTATTCTCATCTATTACTTCTCATGATCTGTTCCAACAGCATTGGCTAGTTTAGATTTTTGAAACCTAATATTTCTGCCTCAAAGCCTTGGCACGTCCTCTTCCTCCTGCTCTTCCCCCAAAATAATATGTGAATCACTTGTTTGCTTCAGGTTTTACTCGGTGTCGCCTTTGTAGTCTCCATAACCCCACTTTACCCTGGCACTGCTCTTCTCCTTGCTAATTTTCGCTATTGAACATATTGTGCATTCTACCTTTTCACTTATTTTTTTGCAGTTTCTATATCTGTCAACAAGACAGGTTTCTTATGGATTTCTTTATAGCTACATCACAGGCACTACAAAGAACATATGGCACTACTCACAAAATATGTGAACAAATGAGTAGCAATATAATGAAAGAGTGCTATTTAATGCTTTCCAGTCAGTATCACTTGCATACTTTGTTATAGCACGCTAAAATCCACTTCACTATAATTGTTAAAGAAGTGTATCTTTAATTCTAATTCCACTTTTATAAGAAGCAAAGGATGAGGAATAGAATTATTAGGGATGTATTTTTTAACCTAGTATCAGCATTTCCTTATAAAGACACAAATTAAACTGAATCTGATAAATTACTGCATCTAAAAAATGAAAGAGTGAGCATTTGAGCCACCTCATTAAGCCTTTATTCCTGCCACTGTGCCCCCAACCACTTAGCCCTCAGGGAGAATTGGTTCACCTTCAGTTCTTACCATGACTCCATCTTTTACACTCCCAAACTTCATACACACTGTGTTTATCACACTAAAATGTGACTTGCTTGCAAATATGTCTCACTTTCAGGAATAAATCAATAAGGGAAGGGATCTTAGGGTTAAGAAAAATTAAATTATACTTAATTGTATATCCTACACCAGCCATAAAGATGCTTAATAAATGAATATTAATTGAATATGAATGTATTAATGGTTAAACATAAAGCCTTGAAAAGCCTGCTAAAAAAGTTTGGTAACATTGAAAGCTTCAAAAATCATGAATCTTCAAAGAAAATTCAAATAGTTATTGTGCTTATATATAACATATATTATGGTATATATGCAAATTACTAGGAAGATTATATGTACTTATAAAGATATTTAATCTAGTTTTTAAAAATTATATATTTTTAAGACTTTCATTGACTATTCAAAACCACGAAAGTGATATGGTTGAATAAGCCAAACATTCCTAGAGTTTTCTTATCAAAATTTTACTAGATTTAATGTGAGATATGAGTTTCTCTTGTTAAGGACCCATTAGAGACAGGAAAATACTGGGTTTGACCTAAACTGGAGAAAAATCAAGCAAAAAGAGTTAACAATTTTTAAAGCATTTTATAGGAATTGCTTTCGAGAAAACAATTGCATATCTATGAGAAAACTTCAAGCCATGTTATACCTGGGATGACTTTGAGTTATCAGCTTGTACCTTGACAGGATTCAGTAAAAGGTACATGTTTTAGCATTGAAAATTGAAAGGTAAAACTAAAAAAGAAAGTTTCCACTGCTTCTATTTGGTTCAATCATTTATGGTAGCTTTTACATTGGCTTTTCACTTTTCACTGGTTTACCCAACAAATTATTTAAAGCTTTCAAGATGATCTTCCTATTGTACTCATGATGATGACTATGATGATAATGATTGTGATGATGTGATGATTTCTCCAGTGCCCAACCTTAAAACACAGCTGCCATTCTTGAAGGACTCCATCTAAATATCTCTCAAAACATGACCACTTCATTATATGGTCTGAATGCATATTTTCACCAATATCTCCCCTAAGGATTCTATGTTCATGTACCACAGGACTATCCATTTATCCTTCAGTCCAGTGCATGACTCCTTCCTCATTTCAGTTGCTTAATTAGCTCTCTCCTCTTAGTATCTAATTCTCATACTACTTTTCATCAACCCCTTCTGACGGACTATACATCCTATATTTTTCATGATAGCCTCCAATCCAAGGCACTCTCTCTTTTCTGAACTATTGCATAATAGAACTTTCTACCCTCTTCACATGTCCCAGCCTATATCATAGTTATTTATGTATCTGTCTTATTCCTTCCTTCATACCCCACTCCTGCCTGCTTTTAAGTATCACTCTAAGCTCTATTCACTTTATTCACTGCAGATTATAGCACAGAACCTTTTCTATATCATGTGCTCAACCAATATTTCTTTTTTTTTTAAGATTTATTTATTTATTTATACAAGCACTGTGTACAGTCAGAAACGTGGGAGGGTGAGAGGATTCACCAGAACCAGAGCGGGGAACAGAACAGGCAGACTGATGAAGTACACTGCTGAGGGGAGCAGCGGGGGTGGCAGGAGAGGTCTGTGCGCCATGTGGGACCCTCCCCAGCGGCCAGGGATCGAACAGGCGCTGCAGAGGCTGCGGGCAGCTTCACAGCCCAGCACTCAACCCCTGCGCCACTGGGGAGGTCCTCAATCAATATTTCTTGATTTATAAAGTTGACTAAATGTTCTTGGAGAAACTGTGAAATCACTATTGTTGACTTTCTCAGCAGCCAAAACCTAGTTCAGGTGTCCTGCAGAAGTTTTTCAAAGACCTACTATAAGGATCTGTAAGAAGACAATGGTGCCTTGTTTTCTATTCTCCCTCAAACTCCTGAGAGTACAGACAGTAGCAGAAAAATCCCTTTGAAGAGTACTGGAGTGGGCAAAAAAGAAATTTTGGGCATCATCATTTGTTAATCAGATTTCCTCTGATAGATGAACGGTCTAGATTAAGTGTCTTTAATTTTTTCAGCACTAAAGTTTAATGATTTAAATAATGTCATGTTATAATTCAGAAGAAAGAAGGTATTACGCAAAATAGTACAGAAACTGACCTGCAGTATAAGGCAATTTCCAGCCTGAAAATTGGGTTCCCCTGTAGGATTTTTCTGGGGACAGAGTCATTACAACTACTATGCTATTAGGTCACTGTCTTTGCCATGTGATTTAGACACGTCTAAATTGAGAGCACTTCACATAGACTTCACAGAGCTTCAAGGCTTAGTATCCAGAGGAAATCAGTTGACAAGTTCATTGTTTTATAGTCCTTGATTCACATAATGACTTATAGGGAATCATGGGATAACTTACATCTTCTATATGCTAGTTCAGAGGTGAATTTAAAAAATAAAAATGATACTTTCTTCCTACCCTGCTATTTATTTATATTTTATAAATATTTGATAGTAATTTACATTTGTGTCTTAATATTAAAATACAGTTTTGTTTTAGCATACAGTCATTTTATGAATCATGCATATAAAATAGTACTATTAGGAAAACTGCTCTCTAACATAGTGATTACCTGTCTTAAAGAAAAATAGAATTTTAAAACAATCAGGCTGATTTTAAATTGTGCATAGAACCAGTAATTGTGTACTTAAGGCAATTAATGGATTTATTGAATGTTGGTTAAAAGTAGATTGACAATGACATTAAAGAATAAAGCGTAATTTATTTGGTGCTACTTTGTGAAAGCTTTTTAACTACAAATCATTTCACGATACCATATACAATATACTTTCAATCACAACTTAAACATAAAAGAGCCTACAAAATCACTTGGCTATAATCAATATACAATGATTATATTTTAAAAACAAAGAAAAATAGCAATTACTCAAGTTAAGGTGCAGTAACTTTTACAAATAAAATATTAGCACCATACCGGATAAACTGATCTAAAACATTAGCCTCCTCATACTTCTTAAATAACTAAATATAAACATTTTTTCAAAGCACAAATATTAATCTGCAAAATCAGTTCTACAGTAGTTAATATTTCTCTCTCTCTTTTCTGTTTTGCATTTTTCCCCAGTAAGGAAAAATAGGTAGTAAAAACTTTCACAGGATATGAAAAGCAAACAAATGAGCAAATCTAACCAAACCAATGGCTGTCCTTCAGCAGTGAGTCCCAACAGATGCAAACGTGGACATTTCCCGGCGTATGGTACTAAAAGGTGAGAGTTCAAGCTCTGTGGTATACTCGTTGTCATTGTCATCGCTGGTCACTGTAGAAGACTTCTGAATGCACTCGTCACAGCAACAGCAGCAGCACTCCATAAAGGCCCGGCTGAAGGGTTTGCAAAGACAGAAAAGAAGCACAGGGGTGACACAGGACTTAAAGAACAGCAGGAACTGGCTGATGATATTAAGCAGGTCCATTGTCTGCTGGGAAACCCCTGTGGCCATGTAGGCAGTAACAATGTTGCAGATATTTTCTGGAATAATGCAAAAGCCATATAAAATGGTCAGAGCCACTACTGTGCAGTTCATCTGACTTTCCAGCTGGATCTGCCGCTTATTTCCTCGGCTACAGGCTTTCTCTGCTTTGCGGATTTTCCTTGCAGTCACCAAGGAGCAGGTGATGGTAAAAAGTGTGGGCAAGCAGAAGTAACAGCCAAAATACCACCAGAGCCTGGCGCTGTCATAGGTCAGGGCTAAAACGTAGATGGTGTCCGGTAAGTCGGGAGAGATCTTGATGACACAGCGCTCTGCTGGCGCTCGGCCGCTAAAACCCAGATCCTCCTTGCTCAGCTGGCGGAGAACAACTTCTGGAAGTGCCAAGAGGAGAGCACCAACCCAGATGACAGCTAGTTTAGCGGTTGTTGAGGAACAGTTTTCGATCATTTCATAGTACATCTGCACATTGGTGGCCGCACGGAAGCGGTCGATGCACAGAGCGCATAAGGTGAAGGTAGTGACTCCGAGAGACGCAACCTGGGGAAGGACACAGAATACGTTTACATTAAATAATCTCTGAGAGGTCAACAGAGTAGCTATAAGCAGATTGCAAAACAGCAAATGCACCTGTCATGGCAAAGGCAGCCATGCTTCATGGAAGCTAGATGGAAGTTTGCAAAGATGGAAAACAAATTCCTGAACTATGCATGGGTAATTGGTTGGTGACCTTTGCTGAAATCA